GTGCTCCTTGTTTAGTAGTGCTGCACAGGGATTGTGTACTTCCTTTTTTCTTATGTTTACTGCAAGTTTGTTGGTCTTATCAGACTAATTGAGAACAATGGACTCCCTATTCTGGCTGTTTGAGCTCATCTCAACAGCATTTACACGGTAAATCCCATTCTCTGGTGTACATGTGCAAAATATTCAAGTCTGTATATAAAGGAAAATATGGAACAACAAGCTTGTCAACATAAGTGAATGAAACTAAAAGTGGTGTGGTGTGGATAATCACACTTCTGGACTTCTATGGAATTTTGATATATTTAAAGGAGAACTATGGGGTCAGGGCTTTTCCCCATAGTTCTCCTTAGGGTAACGGGAGGACACAAACTAGCGTCCTCCCGTCACCCAAAGCTCAGTATACCGCGAGCTATTGCTCGCGGTATACTGAGACGCCGCAGCTGAAACCGATCCCGACAATTATGTCTAGATCCACCCAGCTGCGTGAGTGACAGCTGGCTCTGCCTATCTAGAGGCAGAGCCAGCTGTACCCTCCCCCGTCCGTTCCGCCAGTCATCGCTGGAGGATCGGACAGGGAAGGGTGGAATCCAGTCCCTCTCCTGTCACGGCTCTGTGCAGGGACAGGATCGAGAAGTGAGCGAGCGCCGCTATGTGTTCGCTCACTTCCCGATCTACTGAGCCGACCTGTGACAGTCTCATTGTCACAGGTCGGCTAGAACTATGAGGTGAGTGAGAATCACTCACCTCATAGTTCTCCTTTTTAAGGACACTTTTGATACACTTAAGACACATGGAGCAGCTCTACCCTCTTGTCCTCAATTCCGCTGCTTGAACCATGGTGCCTGGTAAAGCTTCCGCCAGAGCCATTACTGAGCAATTGGTAAAAAAAACGACACTCGCAAGGAGATTCGTTCATCCAAAACTTTATTTGGAAAAAGGTATAAAAGCAGCAAAGGATCAAATGTATGCCTTTTTGCAAATAAAGTGGATGGACGAATCTCCTTGCGAGTGCCGTTTTTTTTTTTTTACCAGTGAGGAAAGTGTGAAGAGTTTGGAATAGTCAAGGGGTGATTGTTAAAGCTGAACTCTAGGCAGATGTAAAATACACAAATGAATGCAGCTCTGTAATCATTACCACGTAAATATGTATTTTTAGATGCAAGTATTGTAAGTACCTGAACTTGATCTGGGTTTCTTGCAGTTCCTGTACAGCAGAACGGGATTGGGTGGGTAAGAAGCAGTAAAAGAGATAATCTCTTCATGGGATGAGAGAGCATGCTGATAGGAGGAGACAGCAGAGTGAGAGAGGGATGAGTACAAAGGATTAATGACAGAAAGGATTATTTAATTTTTTATTTCTTAAAAGGTACAGGAGATAAAAACTTTTTTTGAAAATTTCAAAACCGAAATGAAAAAAAAATGTCAGGCTGATACTGAAACCCTAAATGTTTTTTTTATTTCAACTTTTTCAAATTTTTTAAAAATATTTTTATTTTTCATAAACCTTTAAATTTATTTCATTTTTATTCATTTTTATTTTTTACTTTACTTTTAGGGGCTTCAGGGAAATATGGGGGGTCTAAACAGACCCCTGATATTTCCCTTTTAAAATAGAAAAAGAGATTGAGGACTCTGTGTTCTCAATCTCTTTTTCTGCATACCCTGTTATCAATGAACAGGAATCCTCTTCCTGTTCATTCATAACTTGTGGACGTAGTATGTTTACCATGTCCACAATCATGAATGAACAGGAGGTGATATAGACCACTTCCCATTCATTCATAATTGGGGACACAGTAAACATACTACGTCCACAATTATTTACAAACACTCAGCGATCACTGATCTCCACCCTGACTCGCTGTCACAGGGGGCGCTGTGGGAGGAGAGCTCAGCCTCCTGTGACAGCAATGTCTCAGCCCACCCCGCCGCTCTCCTGATCTGTCACAGGAGGCTGAGTGGTGCGGGGAGGAAAGACGCCGGCCGCTCACATCGCACTCCTCCCACAGCTCTCGGCCGCCTGTGTCAGTCTCTCTCCTCCACGCTGGGACACAGAGCAGCGCCCAGCGGGGAGGAGAGAAGGAACAGATATTCTGGTATTTCGGCAGAAAAATGGCACTTTCAGCATTTTGCCAAAAGTGCCATTTTTGGCCGATATGTTTCGGCGGCCGATATATCGGTGCATCCCTAACAAAAACACATGTCGAATTAATCATAGTATGAGTGTGTGTTAACAAGTGTGTTAGCGTGGCATCATTCTCTGTACATAAACATTGCCTTTGTATACTTTGCGGCCTCACTGTGTGTCTGTAGCCGGTAGTAAGGTCACAGTTTTTCATTAGAGCTAATGCTTTCTGTCAATGATGATGGCCAAGACACAGCATGATATATTAGGAACCTACGACTGCTATAATAAGTTATTTTAAGACGGTGCACCTCAAAATAGCATTTAGTCCGTAGGCTTCTACGTGTCCTATGTGACTGCTGTTGACAGTGAACTTGATAGGAAGACATGGAGCAAAGGGATAAATAACCTCAATAGAACCTTTCTTTTTTTTTTTTTTTTTTTTTTTTCTTTATCAATGCCCACAGTTTGAGAAGAACTCTAGGCAAACAAGAAAATGTACCCTTTGAAATGGGGATCCCCCTTCTGCTAGGGTAAAAGGCTTGCTTTGTCAAGAGGACACTGTTAAAGCTATTACTTACCTGATCCTCTGTCCCATTGGGTCTCCCCAGGCTGTTAAACCAGTCCCCACAGCCTTTTCTCCTCTTCTTTCTGGTGGTCTAAGGACCACTGACATCATCACGTCTTCTGCGGGTCCCAATTCCATGGCTTTTTGGCTAAAAACCTCTAAGTGTAGTATCTGTTCTTATCGGTATTCAGGAGGGGAAAATGTGCCGCTGTTCTGGCCTTATAGTAAGAATGGTTGGCTGCAGAGTACCCTGCCTGAATTGATGGGGTTGCTAAGGTGTCCTGGCCGTGGGTTAAGGAAACCAAATTGAGCACCCACTCATGTAAGGGTGGGATCGGGAGTACTTCCTTTGGTCTGGAATCCGGAGGGTCCCAGTGCCTCCTAATTTGAATGGAATTACCTGGTCTGGTCATGGGCTGAAGAGACCTGGAGCCTGTGGTGTCAAGCGCCCTGGGGGGTGCCTGAGTAACACTATGGGAGCCCACTGTGTGAAAGGCACCCAGGCCCACAACACTGTTTGCTTTTTTACATGTCGCCTTGGGCTAGGCCTTATGGCTGAAACCAGGGGAATTTTTTTTTTATATTGGCGCCGCGAGGCCTAGCCATTGTCTTGCACGTTGGCACTTTATTTATTTTTTTCACTTGTCTGCACTTTCGCTTTGTCTGTATTTCACTCCACTAGGATGGTAAGTGTGGGTCTTCGGGCCTGCCCTGAAGTCTGGGGGAAGGATGTGTGACCATCAGGTTCCTTACTCCCCTGAACTGGGGTCTCTCGTCGGAAGAGCCCCCAGCCTAGTACTTGATGGTTGGCTGGCTAGGTGGACATGAGTGAAATGCCCCTGTCAAGACCCTTCTGCCCCGGTGCCTGGGAAATGGCCCGATCTCTTCAGGGGATGGACCATTAAGACACACACTAGTGCACTTTTTTTGCTCACTATGGTGTTTAGTTTTTGCACACCCACCAGGGGTTAAAAAACAACAACACATCAGCAAAGGGGGAAAGAGGTGAGCGCAGACCACTGCGGGAACCGGTATCAGGTAAGTAAATCTGCTTTATGTGAGTCCCCCAGATGAAATGAGCACTTAACCCATATAGTACAGGGGTAGCCCCACTGCAAGGGTACAGTTTTCTGTTTGCCCAGAGGTCTGTTTTAACTTAATTGCATTGTTTTGAAGACTGTCATCTCTAATATCTCTGTGTCATACATTTTTACAGACACATGCTTATGTGTACTTAGTAGCTTAGTTTTTGGAGTTTGACTCCAGTCAAACCTAAAAACATTGCATTAACTCTAACTCTGGACATAGGCTGCCTGCTGAGTGTCTGTGATTTCCATCCTGTATGTAGCGGTTGGCTAATTGCTGCTATTATAGCATCCTTCTCTGCTAGATGGGCCTGAGCCAAGCCTGCAAACATTCAGGTTAGTGCCATTCAAGTACTACCCTTTGCCTGAATCTTGAGTTTGCCCCTGAATTTTGAACTGTGAGATGTAGGTAGTACAGCACAAAGGTTGACACATACAGGAAGTCCTTAACCTTCAGGTTATACTTCCACCAACATTAAGATTGGGCACTGGCAAAAAACCTGTAGGCCAGTCCGGGATAACTACTCCTACTACCAGCATGCCTCAGTTTTAAGCTAGTGTCCTAAGAGGATGGATGTGTTTTCTTCAGCTCTGTTGTCATAGGGCCCGTTTACATGCTAACCAGTGCGTTCCAGCATGGTTCCATGCCCTGAACACACTGGATTGCAAAACATAGCCTCCCGCATTCTGGGGTGGGATGGTGCTGCCATTCATGTCAACGGCACTGCAGCACGCCTCCCGCCTGCATTACGATCGCCACACCAGAGCCTTCCATTCTGGTGCTGGGCAATTGCAAAAAATAGTGCATGCGCTGTACCATGCGTTCTGGTGCGGACGATCGCACTGCGGGGAAGGGACAAGATTAGTAGGTGTTGCTTTACTGCAACAGAGAAGCATCAACTCCCTTGTACTACCAGATAGGACTGTGCTGTGTGTCAGAGCTGTGCAAATCTCAGTACTGGATGGACAGAAATACAAATCCTTAAGCAGGTAAAATCGGTCCCACATATGTATTTCACTTGTGTGTTTAGCTATTAGCCAGGAATTCAGTTTGAACAGCTCCTGGATTGCCGTCTGTGTACATATGAACAGGAAGTAACTTGTAGTTTTTGTATTAGTCAGATTTCATCATCATGTAGGTGTTTATGCCGCAGCATTCTAGAACTCTTATAGTTTGGAGCTTTGCATTGTGTTTAAGTGTTATTATGTTTACTTTCCACAGGTCTTGGTGAATACAGTGTGCTGTTTCCTGATGCTTGTTGCAAAATTAATCCAGCATGTGGTTTTTGGTCCTTTGCGTGTTAGCGAGAGACAGGTAAGTACAATGTGGTTACATCACACACTTATCTAGTTTTAATACTACGGGATGACTGCATATATTGGGAAATACATGAAAATGGAATTGATTTTAAAATGCTGGGTTAGGTAGGGTAGGGCCAGCTGCATGATGTCCATTGCTTCATCTTCTTTCTTCAGCCACAGAAAATGGCAGAACGCAATGATGTGTCTCCATTCTCTGCAGAAATCTCATGTAAACCCTGGCTGGATGATGTACTCCAAGGGGGGGGGTTGCATTATGATAGGGCTGCAACAACTAATCGACATAATCGATTATAATCGATTATTGATCCGATTTTGAAAATAATCGTTAGCTGCAGCTCTACATTATGATTGGCGATAGAGATAGAACTGGAAAATAGAGCATGCAATGCAGGATTTTAGTTAAAATATTTTATTAGCCTGTAGTTGTACTTTAAAGGATATTGACAGATACAAAGTAGTATCATAGTAATAGGGGCCCACATGCAGCTTGTCTGTCTACTAAGCCTAGCTGCTGCTGATGTCATTGTGTCTATCCCTACTCTAAGAGAGAAGCATGGGGAGAGGACCTCTGTACAGGTTGGATGACGTTCACTGAGAGTCTAGCCTGACACGGAGAGAACCTCCTCATCTTTATCTTAGGAACTACGGTTGCTCTCATATAAATTGTAAAGCACCCCCTAAAGCTGACCATACCTTTTTACAATCTTCTTTAGGGTATGTTCACACCAGCAGCCGTGTTCAACCGTATGTATGGCTGCTGGTGTGCATGTCCCCCGAACAGTGCCGATGCACTCAATGAAGCTTCATTGCACTTTTTTTTTTGGTAGAACTTTACTGAAATGTTACAAGTGACATTTTATTCATTTCTTTGGGCTCACAGCAGTGTGGTGCGGTTGTATCGCATCTCACTGTGGTGCGCTTAAAAGAAAGGTACTGCATGCCGTACATTTTTTTTTAAGAGCACACCACCGGAACATGGTGCTCTAAACTATGCCCATTCATAACACGGCAATTTGCCTTGTGTTGCTTTCAGGATGTGCTGAAATAAAAGGCCAGCGCAGCCCGAACACTGATAGTGTGAACCAGCCCTCAGGGTAATCCAACATTGATCCCTAAATATAAAGCAAGTACCCTCGTGTAACTAGGGATGCTCCGATACCACTCATTTAAGACGGAGTACCGATACTTTTTTTTTCAAGTACTCGCCGATACCAATTACCGATACTTTTTCTTAAAGGGGCAGGTCACATTTTTTCTAAAGCAATGCAAAATCATGATTTTAGGTCAGTTTCTTAATATTATGAAGAACATGAAATTAATATTTATCATGCCATTGCTAACTAAGGCTTGTATTCCCCATAGTGGGGGAAATAGATGAGCACATGTCCAGACTCCAGAACAGTGTATTATTGTATAGTGTGGAACACCTGTATCCAATTCTGCATACCTGGCTTTATATTATAAAGTTCTTATAATATAAAGCCAGGTATGCAGAATTGGATATAGCTGTGCCAGGACACTGTATAGTGTGGCACTATATCCAATTCTGCATACCTGGCACAGCTATATCCAATTCTGCATACCTGGCTTTATATTATTAAAAAACTTTATAATATAAAGCCAGGTATGCAGAATTGGATACAGCTGTTCAACACGATACAATACAGTTTTTCCCCGAAAATAAGACACTGTCTTTATGTTTCCCCCAAAAAAACACACTAGGTCTTATTTTCAGGGGATGTCTTATTTTTTTTTTAATGTGCAACAAAATGTACAACAATCCAAAGTTATCTGGTGTCACTCTGCCTGTCACAGTAACCGGCGCTATAGAGTAAGTATCGGCTAATGCGGCTCTGCTCCCTCCGCCGCCGCAGACTGGCTTTCTGCAGCAGTGGGGACATCAGACAGTGGACAGCGCGGTACAGTACAGTACCATTTACCGGTACACATTACAGTACAGTACCATTACATTAGGCAGCGCCTTCAGGGGGACAGCAGTTGGTGCAGTATTGTACTGGAGTGCTCCCTGTCACTGCGCTGGCCGGAGGGTGTCCCCTGTCATCCCCTTAATACAGTATGTCACTGCAGGCTGATACCATCTCTCCTGCAAGTTCCCTCTCACATGCTACCACCAAACTAGGTCTTATTTTCGGGGTAGGTCTTATATTACAGGAATCTTGAAAAATAGTGCTAGGTCGTACTTTCAGGGTAGGTCTTATTTTCGGGAAAACAGGGTAATACAGTGAGTCTGGGCATGTGCTCATCTATTTTCCCCACTAGGGGGATACAAGCCTTAGTTAGCAATGGCATGATCTCGTGGTATACTGTGGCGTCTCAGTATACTGAGCTTAGGGTGGCGGGAGGACGCTAGTTTGTGTCCTCCCGTTACCCTAAGGAGAACTATGGGGAAAAGCCTTGACCCCATAGTTCTCCTTTAAGCGACTACAGAACTCAATACACATTATGGTCATAAAGAGGTTGCAATCAAAGGATGCAGGTTGGCACATAAATGTAATCTGGCCGGATTTGTAAATATAACACATTCATGAGTAATTGTTGTATGTTTTGGTCCTAGTGTTCATTGTTTATTAGACTTTTTTTGTTTCATTCTTTTCTTTTTCAGCATTTAAAGGACAAGTTTTGGAACTTCATCTTTTACAAGTTTATCTTCATCTTTGGAGTCCTAAATGTCCAGACTGTGGAAGAAGTGGTTCTTTGGTTTTTGTGGTTCGCTGGTCTGGTCTTCCTCCATCTCATGGTTCAGCTGTGCAGAGACCGATTTGAATATGTAGGTGTGAACTAAAACTGCTTCCACCCAAAGCAATAAGTGAAGAATATCTTTGGCCGAAATAGAGTTAAAAAAGTCAAGTTTTTTATTGCTGCTGATTGTTCCCATCGGGGAAATTCACCCTCTCACAGAATGTGATGGGATATTCAAACTTTTTCAGCTGTCACCGGAAAGGAGTAGAGGGGACATCTTTCATTGGGGACATGTGATCCGGTGGCAACTGTCTGTTAACACCACAAACTCCGCGTTCCAGTGTGTTCGGCCTCTGGAACGCAAGCTGGCCGGCTTTCTGAGTTCAGTGGCGATGCATTGAAGTCAATGGCACCGCAGTCACGCCTCCCGCCCGCAGTGCGATCACCCGCACCCGGAACACAGGCACATCAGTATTTTTGCAGATCGCACTGGACCGTAACGCAGACACTAATGTGCCTTCATTTCGGGTGCGGGTGATCGCACTGCGGGCGGCTTGCGTTCCCAGTACATTCCAGAGGCGGAACGCACGTTTGTAGTGTGAACCGGCCCTCAATGTGAAGGATTTCCTTTCACTTTCTGTTGTGCCACTGGGACAAAAAGTGAGCAGAAATCTCCCCGATGGGTTTTAACCATTCTGTAAAAGTGCAGAACGCCGGCACGCCGCATGTAATCGTATGTGATAGTTATATGTGGTTTGGAATCAATCATGTGTTGTGCTGTCGTTCTGCCGCTTTCATATGCAGCTGCTGTCACCCGATCATTACTTGGATGAGTGACAGCTGCCGCTTGTAAAGTGCAGATTATGGATTCCTGCTTCAGGAAATCGCAAGTTCCCGACACAAGAATCCCTAATCGCACCAAAAATATAAGCGTGAATGGGGCCTTAATATTTCATTTTCCTTAGGACCTGTGTGAGTAGGGTTTTGTTTGCTTCAAGCAGGTTCTGGATTCCCATACAAGTCTATTAGAATGTAAAATCGGTTTGAAGCAAACAAAACCCTATCAACACAGGTCAGAAGGAGATGCACCTGTCAATGAATTGTGAATGATGTCAGAAGCATCTCTAACTGAAGTCAAACTGTTGCCATCAACACAAGCTCTTATATTTATGGGGCCTGCTTTATTCAGTATTGGTGTTAAAAGCAACCAGCTATATGTCAGCTATATGTGCTGATTTGATTTTAGGAGCAATGTACGTGGGCATCAATCAATCTTTTCTTTGCTCTATGTTCAGTTAATCAGCAGGCTGTTATCAGTTGCTGTTTTTCCATACTTGTAAGGAAAGTTCAGCTATGCCCTGAAGTTTGATCATATTTCTATTTACTCTAGTTTGCACTGAGTAGTTATACATGTGTTTTTATGCCCTACAGCTGTCCTTCTCTCCCACCACACCGATGAACTGCCACGTTCGTGTTCTGGTTCTTCTTAATGTCATGCTTATGGCCTGCTGTGGCCTGGGTGTTCTCTGTGTACTCGCTGGATATGAACATGGGATGCATACACTGGCGTTCATGGCTGCAGAGGTTAGTAATATGTGTTGAGTTTCTTTAGGCAACAGAAAGTCCCAAAATGAAGTTTGTGTTTTTTACAGTGTAACTTACCCCCAAAACATGGGTGTGCAGCAGTCAAAACTGTACATTGACTTAGTGTGTGTCATCCAATTCAGAGATAGTTTAATCAATCTTTCCAAGCATGTAAACATTAGTTTTGGGCATTCATAATTCGCTATTTCACATGGACACCTTTCTCCTAAAACGTGCAGCCTGAGAAGACTAGACAGTGCTGTTACCGAGATGGAGTTCAACTTTTAGCCAAAAGTCATCAGCCTTGTTTTCATCTCCTTCCCTCCACTTCTCCTGAATGCTGATGTATACAGAGAACAGTGACACTTGACTGTCACGGTAAGGGCAGAGGTGTCTTTAATGAGCATGCTGAGATTGACAACCTCGCTTCACCTTTTCTAGGCTGTGAGAAAGGTAAGAAGGTAACTCCCAGTGGGGAATAGCTTGGTCTGCAGGGACAGACTATCTGAGTCATGTTGCTGTTTACTTATTATATGCTGTAGAGCTGTTTTATAAGCTGAATAGTTGATTTTTGACAGATATTTCTGTAAATGGTGAAACAAAGAGTTGCTCAAATCCCATCTCCACTTAAAAAAAAAAAAACAGTTGCCCATCACTATTAAAAATAACCAAATGCAGCCCTTATTGCAATACTCACCTTCTCTCCATTACTGATGTTGCTTCTCTTCTGGGTTGAATGATGTCCAGCACCTTTTAGCCCATTTTTGTTAAACCCGGGCCATCATGAGTACACTCCATTGGGCTTTGTGATTATGCCAGCCAGGGCTAACAGCAATATTGCTAAGAATTACATGCAGTTGTAAGGACCAGTGTTTCCAGCCTGGAAGCGGAAGGGCGTGTGATGTCACGTGACCGGCTGGAAAACAAAAAACAGGTCCTAGAATTGAGGCCTAAAATAATATTATTTGTAAGTCCGAGCTCTCTCTGATCCCCGTGACACAGCCGACATGCTGATCCCGGGCTCGCACTGGGCACAGCGGAGCTCGGGATCAGCGGGACAACAGCGGGGGGGACCGCGGAGGGGGGGTGGGACACCCGATCAGCACCCCATACATGCGATCGGCCGGCTCTACAGCCGGCGGATCGCATGTATATTAACGGGCATCGCTGCCCGTTTTTAAATACCGGCCATTTCCCGCTCGCGCCTGATGGCGCGCGCAAGGGGGCGTGTCTGAGCGGACGTCTAGAGACGCCCGCTCAGATCGAGAGAGCTCCTGGCCGGCCGTTTTTTTACTACGGCCGGCCCGGAGGTAGTTAAAGTAGAATCATTGATTCTACTTTAAGTGACTTCTGAAAAACGAAGATTTGCTGAAATTGATGTGTTTGTCGTGCTGGTGCCATTTCCTTACAAACTTTGCTTGATGCGGCGCCATCCGCAGCCACTGCGAGCACCCATTTTTGCCTATGGGAATTCCAGTAAGGTAGTGCTACAGGACATTTGCACTCTAAAATAATATTAAACTCTCAAACTTTTTTCAATAATGAATCCAGATCAAACAAATATATTTGGCCAAGTTAACTATTTTTTTTACATTTTGGCCCAAGCACTTAGTCATGTTTCCAAACAGCTGGCTCCATCTGTCTCAGCTCTGCTTCCCTGAACTTCCTGTTGAGTTAAAGATCACATGAGAAAGTACAGTGTCTAGTAGCTGTTCATCTACCGTGTTTCCTCGAAAATAAGACCTACCCCGAAAGTAAGACCTAGCGCTATCTTCAGCGATTTCTGTAATATAAGACCTACCCCGAAAATAAGACCCAGTTCGGCTTTTGCCTTGGCTTTTACGGTACATAGAAAGTTGCCGCTGAAAACTACATTTCCCAGCAGGCAGCAGCATGGCCAGTGGGGTCAGAGTGAGGTCAGGGGAGGTGAGGGAACTTCTGACTGGTCTGTGCAATGAGGTGGCTCCCTGGACGGCATCAGCGAGGAGAGCTCCAGGACAGCTGCAGCCTTCAGGTACTGTGTGATACAGTACATTCCCTATCTCTGCTCTGTGTGCCTCAGCCTCCACAGCATATTTTATCTATTATTTAAATTACGGTAGAAAAATATGTGGAGGGGGGATGCTCAATGGGGAAAAAAAAGACATCCCCCGAAAATAAGACCCAGTGTGTTTTTTGGGGGGAAAAAAAAATATAAGACAGTGTCTTATTTTTGGGTAAACACTGTACTAGCTTGGAGTGGGGCAGAGGCTTGGCTTGCTGTGCCTGTGTGTTTGTGGAGAGAAACGCGTCTAACTAGCACAAAAAGCCATAGGGACAGTAGCCACCCTAAAACAGGATATCAGGGCCAGTGCTCAGGGGACCAGCTGATTCTGCAAAACACTTTAAAACATCAAGGAAAAAAGCATGTGTTTAGTGATTTATTCAGCATTCGAAGTAGCTTAAAAACCTTTTTGACTTTAATATCACTTTAATCTGATTTTTCTCACTCTTTGACAGTGGATATTATGATTATAATAACACTTTATTGCTTTATTTAACGGCAACAGAAATGTAAACAGTGGAGAAAACCTTGCAGTTTTTTACTCATTTATTCAGCTTTGGTCATCTTGGATCTGTACAACCCTCCAGGCCCACCACTAGTGGTTCTCTTGGTCTGCTTTGCAGCTGTGGATACGAGCAAAGTTTGTTAAATATGAGAACATGTAAATAGTTTTCTATTGGAAAGACTTCTGGTAAGAGTGTGAAGAATTCTGGGACTTACCTCAGAGACTTACCTCAGCTTCTCACATCATTAGGTACTCATTCCACTAATGGAATTTGTAGGTAAGTAAGAAGAAATGACGCTGACTCGAGTATAAGCCGAGGGGGGGCACTTTTCAGCAAAAAAAATGGCCTGAAAATCTCGGCTTATACTCGAGTATATACGGTAACAATTGCCTATTACTAAGGGATACTTTACAATATTTCTGTGCAGATTTCACAATGCGGTCCTTTAGAGATTGCTGGCTACATGTGAGGCTCCACAATCTAACAGATTGTTCCCACTAGTTAGTTGTATATTATTGCAAATATCTGAAGAGAACAATGTCCTGGCAAGGCTGTACTGAACTATTCACAAGAAAAATGTTATGTTGACCTCTTATTGCCTCTTAGGTTTTGGTTCACAAAACCCTGCAGAGAAGAACATGTGAATGATCGTGTTTACTTTGTCTCCAGAGCTAAATGGATTACAGTGCACAAGTGCACTAGCATTATGAAACGAGCCTGCATTAAAATAATTAAATGTGTAATTGTGTAATTATGATGCCATTCCCTATATGCAGGCATGTCGTCGTGCTAGTTTGATTAATTTGCAGTAATTGTTTTATTACATTACTATGATTTAGTGGGAACTATGCACTAATCTTCCTTCCTAGGTTTCGTATGCTTATTATACTGTAATTATGTGCTGGGATTATCCAGGGACCAATGATGTACCCAGACTGTAACTGCCAGATATTACTATGGGACAGAGGTGTCAGTATAGATGCAGTTGTGTGAAAAAGAAAGTGCACCCTTTTTTAATTCTATGGCTTTACATATATCGGGACACAAATCATCTGGTCCTTAGCAGGTCCTAAAATTAGGTGAATACAACCTCGGATGAACAACAACACATGACACACTGTGTCCGGATTTATTTTACAAGCATAAAGCCAAAATGGACAAGCCATTTGTGAAAATCTAAGTACACTTTATGATTCCATAGCCTGTAGAATCACCTTTTAGCAGGAATTTGTTTCCTGTATGACTTTATCACTCTCTCACATTGTTCTGGAGGAATTTAGGCCCACTCTTCTTTACAATGTTGCTTCAGTTCATTGAGGTTTGCTGGTATTTGTTAATGCACAGCTCTTAAGGTCCCTCCACAGCATTTCAATCGGGTTGAGGTCTGGACTTTGACTGGGCCATTGCAACACCTTGACACGTATTATTAATTTTTTTTCTTTTCTCCAGCCATTCTGTTGTAGATTTGCTGGTGTGCTTGAGATCATTGTCCTGTTGCATGACCTCATTTTGGCCAAGCTTTAGCTGTCAGACAGATGGCCTCACATCTGACTCTAGAATACTTTGGTATACAACGGAGTTCCTAGTCAGCTCAGTGACTGCAAGGTGCCCAGGTCCTGTGGCTGTAAAGGAAGCCCAATCATCCCTCCTTCACTGTGCTTGACAGTTGGTATGAGGTGTCTGTGCTGGTATACTGTGTTTCGTTTTCTCCAAACGTAGTGCTGTGCATTATGACCAAACGCCTCCACATTGGTCTTGTGTGTCCAAAGGACATTGTTCTAGTAGTTTTGTGGTTTTTTTTTTAGATGCAACTTTGAAAACCTAAGCAGTGCTGCCATGTTCTTTTTAGAGAGAAGAGGCTTTCTCCTGACAACCCTTCCAAACAATCTCTACTTGTTGAGTCTTTTTTTTCTAATTGTACTGTCATGAACTTTAACATTTTACCATGCTAACTGAGGACCGTAGAGTCTAAAATGTAACTCTTGGTTTTTTTTTGCAATCTCTCTGAACATTGCATGGTCTGTCCGTGGGCTGAATTTGCTGGGACATCCACTCCTGGGAAGATTGGCAATTGTCATGAATGTTTTTCACTTGTGAATAATCCTCCTCACTCAATGATGGACTTTACATTGTTTAGAAATGGCCTTACAACCCTTCCCAGATTGATGCGCAGTAACAATTGCTTCTCTAACATAATTTCTGATATCTTGCCTCCTTGGCATTGTGTTAACTCACACCTGAATGCTTCGGACCAGCAAACTGCTAAAACATTTAGGCCCGGTTCACACCTGGGCGTTTTGTATTGTGATGACAATAAATCTGAACTCCAGGCACAAGAACTCTATTTTAAATATATTCCTCAATAGCCACAAGAGATATAAATCTACTTTTGGTGCACTAAAAAGTCTTTGTAAATGCATTTATTAACTTGTAAAAGTAGTGTTGATGTCATTGCTGTGCTGCAAATAGCCTGCCTGGAGAGCAGAACTGTGGGAGCCCAGCACGCCCACCTACTACAGGCTGCCTGCAGAAAAATAGGAGGGGGGCGAAGACAAGACCAGTCACTCTGCACAAAAAGAGAGGACAGTAGGGACTGGTCTTGTTGGTCCTGTACAAAGCCAATGTTTGACACTGGATTACTGCAGAGATCTGGAAGATTTACACAATGCTCACCAAGATTCCAGTAAGAATACACACGCCTCTTGTATTTAGGCAATGTTTGCTTTTCCCAGAGTTTAGCTTTCCTTTATATTGAGATCATATGTAAATCTATTCTGTGCCACGGGTTCGGATTCCAGTGATTGCACTGTGGGCGTGGGGCGTGACTGCAGTATTGACTTCAATGCACCGCCACACACACCCCTCCCCCGCCCCAAAACAAAGTGAGCCGGCCGGGGGGAACGCATTCTTTATGGTTTAATCTGGACCAAAGGCTGCAGATAGACAAGAGAAGACAATTAGATGTGCGTACACAATGCAGCCATTCACAGGTAGCTTGAGGTTATATATAAACATAAATGTCCTTTCTCGGTAGAACATTCCTGTTTTTAATATATGTGGAGGAGGGAGCAGAGGAACAGATGCAGCCAATGCTAGTTATGTTAGCGGAAACATCGGCCGGCTGGTTTTCGAGGCTCCTAAAAATGAGTTGTCCAGTTTGGTTGAAAATGGCTGGTTTGGGAGGCTGTCGCTACATACTGTATGTGCGGGGACATTTACATTGACTCCACCTCACACTCTGGCCCTTTTTAAAGTGGATAGTCTGCAAGGGAGCGGCACCTCTGTAATACTTATCTTTTGTCTTTACTAGTGTTTATTGGTGACAACAAGGACAGCTCATGTTGTGTTACGGTAAGTAGGATACATGTTACACAAGAAGGTAGTCTGATCAATTTTGAAAGTATATGTTAAGGTATTTTGAAATAAATTGTTCACATTTTGTCACCATGTACTTAGATCGTATAACCTAAAAATTATAATTGGATTATGTTCAATGTGCCCAATGCCCTGACATTGCTTAACTTAAAGTTTTAGGGAACCAGTGTTGGAGGGAAAGTCATCCTTCTTCATCATCTCCAAGCAGCTGTTTCTGCAGGGTCCCATGAAATAGCTTTAGTTTGAATGTCTCTGAAGGTGGGGGGTCCAGAGCATTGCTCAGAAGAGCTCATTTGTACTCCAAGGAGAATTTGAATTGAATTCAGTAAAGCCACGTGTCTAAACATGATAGATTTGTCTTTAACCAGTTGACATCCGCGGTGTTAAACCCCCTTCCCATCCAGGCCATTTTTCAGTATTCAGCGCTGCGGTACTTTAACTGACATTTATTCCGTCATGCAGCGCTGTACTGAAATTAATTTTATACCCTTTTGGCGGGCTATGGACCCGCTGATCGCCTATATGTGAAACACCCGGTACCGGGTGTTCGCATTGGACGGGTCTTTTCTGCCCGTGCGTGCCCGCTAGGGGGCGCGCGCGAGCAGAAAAAAATTCACACTCTGACGGCAACCCGCAGATGCAGCAGTGCCGTCCGTCCGTTTTTTTACTACGGGCGGACGGCAAGAGGTTAAGTGCTGACATAAGGTCTTCCATATGCATAATGTAATTTACTCCGTGGAACCAATGAATCAGACCAGCTGTCATGGAGATGTGTCCACATACTTTCAAGTATACATTATATGTGCCATTTCATGCTCAATGTTGCTGCACGCTCCATAAGAAAAGGCGTATAATACTAATTATAAAATCTCTTGTGGCAGCTATGTAATTCATCTGTGGGACCTCAATCATGAAGGAACATGGGAAAGCAAAGGAACATATGTATATTATACAGACTTTGTGATGGAGCTCAGTCACCTGTCCATGGACCTGATGCATCATATTCATATGTTGGTATGTATAATGACCCTTCTGCAAATCCATTTAGCTTTAGTCAGAGTAACACCAGAGAGATAACAATTAAGCGTGTTAAGTCTTTTATTCACTGTTGCTCTTGTTTTCAATCTGTTCTCTTCTTCTCCCCTTTACTCCTAGTTATTTGGGAATATCTGGCTGTCTATGGCAAGTCTAGTTATCTTCATGCAGCTTCGTCACCTATTCCATGAGCTGCAGCGCAGATTACGACGCCATAAAAATTACCTGCGGGTCGTTGGAAACATGGAAGCTCAGTAAGCCACTTTTGTTTTAGGAGCATGGATTTTTTTTTCTGTACCTCATTTGTATATCATTTTTATTTAGAGGTTTTTTTTTTTCAAACTAGGGAAATATATCGGCCGAAAATGGCACTTTTGACATAATGCCGAAAGTGCCATTTTCTGGCAGATAAAGCAGTTTATCCGTATATTCTGTCCTCCCCGCTGGGCTCTGCTCTGTGTCCCAGCGGGGAGGAGAGAAACTCACAGACGGCCGAGCGCTGCAGGAGGAGAGCGCTGTGAGCGGCCGGCATCTCTCCTGCCACACCGCTCAGCCTCCTGTCCCTGATCGGGAGAGCGGTGTGTGGGCGGAGATAGCTTGCAGTGTTGCCGCAGGCTGAGCTCTCCTCCCTGCACCACGCGCTCAGCTTTCTGTGACAGCATGTAAAGAAGGAGAGAGGTTCAAACACTGGTCAGTGATCGCTGAGTGTGTGTAAATAATTGAGGACAGAGTATGGTTACTATATCCTCAATTATGAATGAATGGAAAGTGATCTACATCACTTCCTGTTCATTCATGATTGTGCTTATAGTAAACACACTCTGTCCTCATGTTATGAATAAACGGGAACACTCAGTATAGAGGATTCCTGTTCATTTATAACAGGGCCTGCAGAAAAAGAGATTGAGGACTCTGTGTTCTCAACTCTTTTTCTATTTTAAAAGGGAAATATTAGGGGTTTGGAACCCTAATATTTCCCCGAATCCCCTAAAAGTAAAGTAAAAAATAAAAATATTTAATAAAAAATGAACAAATAAAATATAAAAAAAATTCAGTTTTTATTAAAAATAAAATATTAATTTTGTTTTGAAAAAGTTAAAATAAAAAACATTTTCGGTTTCGGGCCTGACATTTATTTTTTTTCATTTCGTTTTTTAAATTTTCATTTCGGTGCACCTCCTATTTGAGCAGTGTGGAGCCATTTTTTGGGATGCTCTAATATGACACAAAGACACTAATTCCCTTTTATGGTTGAAAGATAACTTCAGACAGTTAGTGGTGGTGAAGCTGGAATGTGATTGCTGTGATCAGCACAGTAAAGCTGTCCTCCATCTTTAATACTCTGCTACACTTTGTGTGACTGGCAGCCAGGATATCTGAGTTTGCTTTTCCATTAAATACAGTGATTCTGTATGAGAAGCAGTGCATTTTATGTCTGACTCTAACCTGCCAAATAATAAAACAAAGCGTGAGATGAGGATACCAATAACATTTGCTAAGGCACTATGGGAAGGGGGACGACTCTATGATACTACATAGAGGGGCCCAAATCAAAGGCATTTCCAGGAAAAACTGAAATCCTGTGATTGTTCTAACAGACCTGGAAAAAAAAACCTGTTCCTTATTTTTACTCGGGGACATTTCAGCTTTTTTAAGTTCTTTATACACAAGAACTTGTGTATAATGCACAAGGCAGCATTTGTGAAACTGGGCAATCTTATTTCGCTAGCAATAGGGTGATGCAAGTGAAATCATTGGCATCCGGATTGCTGATGTAGTCAGGGACGCCTCACCAGAGGTTCCAGATCAATTACATGTTCACCTTTTTAAGGCTCAGTTATTAATCTTTAATACTGATGCAGCTGTTTTTAATTTCATCTTGATGAAAATGTATTCATCATAGATTCATATCTAGATTTAGAGGGATTCTCTCTTCATAAAAGCTTAATCTAGAAATTATGTCAATATGTAGCTTCACGGCTTCCCTACAGCTGCAAGGAGAGAGTTCAAGGGCAGTTTAGATATTTCTGGTTTTGTGTTCGATTTGTTGCTATAGGAAGGTCTTTTGCTTGTATATATAGCTGTACACAGGGCTATCAGATAATTTACTGCGTCATTTGGAAAGGTGTGTGAGTCCAGTATCGGTACTCATAATGCTATATTCAATTATTCTTTCCAAAGCTTTGCTGTTGCTACTCCAGAGGAACTGGAAGCAAATAATGATGACTGTGCCATTTGCTGGGATTCCATGCAAGCTGCTCGGAAACTTCCCTGTGGTCACCTGTTCCATAAGTAAGTGGTGTTTGTAATTATTTGGATGAGGGTCAGCTCTGTGTAGGGTGGGAAGCATAGATTAGATTCACCTGCTAAATTCTAAGATCCTCATAGGGCTATAATGACACTGAGTGCAGGTTGTCTTCTGGATTATTACCCCATTGTTTTTTCTGTGTTTAAGCTGGCCATACACCTATAGATTATCTGCAGATTTTCTATGGTCAGATGGAAAAAGTGCACCAGATTCCTCCATTTACACTAAACTGTGTGGATGGAGGAATCTCCTGCTGGGCCAAGCTTCAGTATCTTGCTAGTCGGCCCCGCTGGCTCTCAACATACCTGAACAATGCCTGCATCCAATCAGATTGTTCAGTTATTTTGAGATCCAGCGGAGTGTAAATCGCTAACCTCATTGTTCTCTTAAGTATCATATTTGTTGTGTCCCCCCCCCCCAAGTCTATGCATATTTAATCTTTTTTATATCTGGTATCCTATTCTGTATACATGAAATCTTTGTTTTACAAATAAACATTTAAAGCAGAACTAAACCTTTTAATTCAACTGTTTCCCTAAATTGTTGCGTTTAGGGCATGCCTCAAATGGCTGGTATCATAGCTGCATAGCTGATATTAACTGCATGACAAAGAATTGCTAGAGCACTATGGGTTAGCTAAAGACACAGCAGACCAGACAAAGCTTATTTTGAGGCTCTGTTGTCTGATCCAGTCCTCCAATTAAGCTTTCTCAAGTACTCGGTCTTTGCTGTCCTGACTCCTTGAGAGTAAATATGTACAAAACCACTATTCTATGCTGTTGTTTAAACCCAGATAAGTTCAATTTATTAAAAAATTTTCCCCTGCCTTTGTATATTTAGCTCTTGTCTACGCTCATGGCTAGAACAGGACACGTCCTGTCCAACTTGTAGAATGTCTCTAAATATGGCTGATGGCAGCAGACCTCGAGGGGTGCAACAACAAGACAACATAGAGCAGAACATGATCCCGATTACAGTGACGGAAGGACGACCCCGCCTCAACCACCATAACCACTTTTTCCACTTTGATGGTAAGAGTAATGCAATTAGAATTCCTTTGTCGTGACTAATCTGCATGTCTATCAGTACACTTCCTTAATAAGACTTAACAGTAATATTGTATAGCACTGAAAAGCAAACTGATTTTAGTGAAGTGGAGTGATAAAAGCTTGTCTCTGATAGGGCCCTCCTTACCATCTTGTCTTGAATTGTGATTGTAATGTCTTCCTTATATTGTAAAGTGCTGCACAAAGTGTTGGCGCTATATAAATCCTGTATAATAATAATAATAATAATTGGGTGCTGTATTATATTGCATGTCCTGGCACTTACTGTTTGTTATTATATGATGTTCCCCATGTTATGTAAGTGGTGCAATCTGCTGAGCCATTTGTAATTGAAGATCTAATCCGTCTCTCCTCCCTGTAGGTTCCAGGTTTGCCAGCTGGCTGCCCAGTTTCTCTGTCGAAGTGATGCATACCACCAATATATTAGGAATTGCACAAGCCAGCAATTCTCAGCTGAATGCCATGGTAAGAGCTGGAGGTCTGTGTATGGCACACCAATTTTCTTTTTCCAAGATGTAGGCAGCCTTTCAGCCTTTATCCCTTGCGATTACTCAAATTTAACAATGCAATTTTGTTTTAGCTGTAAATGTAAAAAAAGATGAACCATTTGTTAAAAAAAAAAAATAACGTTCAGAGTGGTATCTTCTTTTTAAATGAAATTCTTTTTATATTATTTTCTTCCCCTTGTTGTTGTGTGTTTGGTGTAAGTTTGTTCAGTAAGTGAATGGACTGAGGTCCAATGTTTATCAATGGGATTTATAAACGATATGATGTTATGCACTAGGAATAATATGAATGTATTGTTCTAATTGATAATTTATGTGAGAATAAGCTGTCTGTGATCTATTTATAAAAATAAAGTTTTAATATTTAAAAAAAAAATGAAAAAACAGGTGCTTTTTTTAATCAAACTATAATGAGGGGAATTTATCAAAACTGGAGCAGATAGAATGTGAAGCAGTTGCCCAAGGAAACTAATAAGCATCCACCTTTCATTTTCAAACCTTAACTGAACAAACTGAAGAGAGAAGCTGATTGGTTGGCATAGGCAACTGCTCCAAATACTTATGTTCGAGTTTTGATAAATCCCCCCCCCCCAAAGTCTTTTGGTGGTGATGACATGTGCCCTATTGATTCCTTAGAAGTAGGGGTTTTAATAAAACACCCACTTTTAAGAATCTAGTACGATTTGAAATTGATATGCAAGTTAGAGACTATCCAAAAAAAGAGAGCTGATGGCGGGTATAACTTGGAGACACCTAGTGGTTGTCTGTTCGGAGTGGGCAAAGCTCCGACATTGCCATATAGTCC